GTGTGTGTGTGTGTGTGTGTGTGTGTGTCAATCAGAGATGATGTCCAAGAAGAAAGGCCTGGCAAATATGTTTCTGAAAAACAAGCCCAGCCACATAGAGGCTGCCATGAGTCAGAGTTGACTGACGGCAGCTGGAGGTGAGTGGCTCCCTGGCTGGCCGTTTGTCCATGTGTGCTGGTAGAAGGCCAGATTAGTGGTTGCATCATGTTCGGTCCGGGATTCAGGTCATCGTTCATCTCGTGGGCTGGACTGACTCCCTCTGACGCTGTCGACCACCTGTCCAGTCAGGGCAGTTCTTGGGAATCTGTCCCTTTTCCCCATCCTCTGGGGAACCTGCCCCCAAAGAGCAGGGCCACTGGTTGAGTGGTCAGTCGTTGGTGCTGCTGTTGCAGGTGCTGCTGCCTCTCCCCCCTCCCCACCCCCCATGCCTGCACTGACTAGAGGCACCTCCCTTAGAGCACCTGCCCTCCTTCCTGCAAGTCAGTCAGCTCCCCGCTACACCCCAGGCCCAGAGGCAGCCGCTCCCTTCCAGGACCCCCTCTTGAGACAGCTGTCCTGGGTCAGTGGACAGGAACCAGGGTCCATGGTGCCTGTGCTCTAGAGTGAGCCGAGGAACCTGGAGTTGTTGGTGGTAGAGACGGGCCCAGAGCAGATGCAAGGTGAAGCCCCAAGGTCCCTTTAAGAACAGATTGCAAGCAAGGCGGGGTGTTTGGGAAAGCCAGGCCCAGGCTTCCAGTTGGTTAACACTTTTAATTATGGGTCCAAGGGGTTGGGTCACCCAAGAGCCTCTGGTCACGTGTGCTGGTCTCTGGTCAGCCTCTCAGCTGGCCTCTTGCAAAACCCCGGCCGGTCTCTCAGGCATCCTCTCGGAGCAGCTCTGGGGAGTGCCCCCCACCCACCATTTCAGCACTGGAGCCAACAGGATTAACAGGCAGAACTTCAGGTACTAACCAAGTACCTCTCCTTCCAGAGCTGGTACCCAAGAAGGCGCTGTTGGGTGTGCTGAGCCTGGCTCTGGCCTCTGACTCCTCTGGACCACCTTTGTCCTGGGTGTTCGTTCTGGGTGGGATTTTAACTGGTGTGGGGTAGAAGGGAGGAGTTACGTTGTAAGCTGATTGCTCTGGGTCCGGTCTCTGCCAGTGTGTGGGGAACCAGGTATGCAAAACTTTTGAAGGCAAGGCAAAGTTAGCCTCCCAGCCCCATGCCCCCTCCCCATTCATACTCTTCTCTCCTGTGTGGCCGGAAGGCTCCAACCTAGCCAGTTTCTGTGGGTCACACAGCATCTCAGTCATTAGCATTACAGTGTGGTACATTTACCCTGCCTGAGTCAGCCAGAGGCTTTGATTTAAATTTAAATGACGGCTCTATTGTGTTAGGCTTTGTTGGCTTGGGGCGGGGGCGGAGGAGGAATTTGGAGGGCTGGGAAAATTCTTTGCCTCTAAAATGAAGCCTGGGCTGTGACTAGCTAGGGTCGCAGGACCTGGGGCAGGTTAGAAGTTAGAATCTGCTTCCGTGTGCTCAGTCTCTCTTCGTTGCTGTCAGAAGAACGGATGTTTTCAGACGTGAGACATAATCAAACACAATTTTGAGTTGTTAGGAAAATGCAACGTTCGGAAAGACCTTGAAAGTGAGCGTCTCTGGTATCTGCCAGATAGTGGCGGAGACGGCGGGGGTGGGCGGGTGTTAACGAGCTGTAATCGCAGTTGGCTGTCTCAGAGGCCACTGGCCTTGTGGGAGTGTGGGAGCAATCCGTCCTTCGCCCTGGCACCTGTGGCCCACGGGGAGGGCTATGGACTTAGGGAAACAGCTCCCTGGAGGCTTGTAGAGGCAGGGTGGGCCACTTCCGTGCCTGCACCTGTGGACCCTCCACAAAGGGCCGGCTGGTGGAGCAGCCCAGGAGCGCTGGCTGTGGGGGCTGCTGTCTGCTGCTAAGGCAGGAAGAGAACTGGGGGGTGGTGGTGGGGCGGGCGGTGTTAGCAAAGAGGAGCTGGTAGTGCTCCCAAGTCCGTGAAAATGGCATTCCTGTGGAGGTCCATCCTGCATGGTGCCAGTAGTTAACCTGCTGGGCTACTAACTCGAAGTCGGAGGTTGGAGTTCCCCAGAGGGGAGTGGAAGAAAGGTGCGGTGCTCTGAGAAATCAGCCGGCCGAAACCCACCAGAGCACAGTTCTACTCAGGATTCGCATGGGGTCACTGAATTGGAGTCAGCTGGTCACTGGTGACGACCAGGGTCTCCAGAGGAGACTGGTTTACTTCCTGAGGCCCTGGGAGGAGGCAGCTCAGAGCTGGGGGCGAAGCCCACCGAAATAGTATGCCGGACTGACCCCGCAGTCAGTTCCTAGGGCTTGCTCCCCCTATGGTGACAAGTCCCTTGGGAAAATCTGCTTCTATATTAACACGGGGTAGGACCCTGCACACCTTGTGACCAGGGTCAGAGAGAAGCTGCTGGGGCTCAGGGTGTGCTCCGAGCCGTCTCAGGGAGCATGGCTGTGTGTGGGAGCCCGTCCCTGGGTGGGCTAGGCTGTGCTTCCCACACTCCAGACACTGAATCCACTGGTTCCCAGGACGTTCACGCTGGCGCTGGGCTGTCCCTCGGCGGGAGGTGGGCTCAGACTGCTGTTGCTGCCCTTGCTCGTTGTCAGACTCCACCTGTCGTGTGAGTGACTGATGCCCACGTTGTAAGAGTGCGCACAGACCCAGTGGGCTTCATTGGGGACTCGTGGGCTGTTGGTTTGGTCATTGTCTTCTTTGGAAAGCGTCTTTCTTCAAAGACGCTCCAAGGCCCCTGGTGCTGGCAGCCCAATGGGGAGCACTTACCGGCAGAGGAACAGTCTTAACTTCCACTGTGCCCTCCGCCCTGGGCACCGTGTGTCCTCTGGGGTCTCTTCCGTGTCCCTGGTTCAGTTTCAGGCCTGGCCCGACTCAGTCGCATGGCGGAGTCCTTTGCTGCGGGTTCCCTCCTTCCCCTGCCGTCTGGTGGCAGAGTGGTTCCGCACTGGGCTGGCCGCCTCGAGCGGGCTTTCCACTCCCCTGTAAGGGACCATCTGGGAAACTCACGTGGGCAGGGCTACCCTGCCCTATAGGGTCGCTGTGTGTCAGCATCGGCTGCTGTGAGTTTGGTTTGGGTTTACTGCCTATCAGCAGTTTTAAAGTTTATCACAATGCAGCCTTTCCGGGAAGTCAGTTTCACGCTTGTTTTGTACAGTTCTGTGAATTTTGACCATGTTCACAATGATGTAACCATGGGTGGCGCAGGCACTTAAGCCCTTGACTACTAATGGAAAGGTTGGCGATTCTAGCCCCCGCACCTTGAAAGAATGGTGTGGGGACAGAGTCCCCGTGGAGTAGTTCCTCGGTGACTCACGAGCTCTCCCACCGTCCTCCAGATGCAGAACTGTCTGTCCCCCGCCCTCGGCCCTGGCAGCTGCTCTCTGGTCCTCTCCTCGGATCAACAGGACACACAGTCGGTAGCGTGTTATAGGCCTCCCCGGCTATGCGGACTGCACTGCGAGGACTGGGGGACGGCTCTGTTTCATTGTGCGCCCTTGGCGCTTTCTCCAAGCTCTGCCGCCCAGAGGGTGCTTGGTGAAATGTGGGCGCTGGGGCAGCTGTGCACCGAGTGTGGTCCGTGACCCCTCCCCCCCCACCCCCCACCTTGCCTGTGAAGTGTCTGCCAAGACATCAGTGGGCTGACCCTGGGGTCCTGGCCAGGCCCTGCACAGCCTGTGTTTGGAGGGACGGGGTTGCAGGCTTCTGGTAAGCTGTTCCCACCAGGTGCCAGCACTTGTTGGCGAGCCCATGGGGGTGCTGTGGGCATCTTTTGGCTCTGCTCTGAGCCATGGCCGGCTGGGAGTGCGGCCCTGGTGTGGTCTGTCGCGGGGGCCTTGAGAGTTAAAAATGGGCCCTCAGTCTATTTGTCGAGTAACGGGGTCTCTCCTCAGGCTGACAGTGGGATGCTGGTGTGACTTTGGAGAAGGCTGGGGTTCCTGTCGGTCTCCTGGCTTCGCCTGTCATGGGAAGGTGGTGGCGGAAGAGCCAGCAGCACTAGAACCCCTCGGGGTGTGGGAGAAGCTGGGGTTTGGAGTGGTTCCTGGCGTGGGGTGGTCTCCTGCAGCAGTGGCTCAGTCAGTAAGGGAAAGGGGGCAGGTGGAGACCACTGGAACCACAGGTTTGAACGCAGCCACGATTCCATCTGCTCCTGACGGGTAGCCTCAGACCAGTAACATTACCTGTGAATGTCAGTTTCCTTCGTGGACAGGGAT